GAAATTCCTGGATGTCAGTTTTCCAAGTTTTGGCTCCTTAAAAGTGGAACATATAGAGAATTTCAAAACAGAGTATTAGTAAGACACAATAAATAATTTGGAAGAAGGAAACTGAATTTAGTCTTTTCTGAAAAGTAGAAATAGTAGAACCTATCAAGTATGGTCAGAGAAAGAACACAAATGGGGAAAGGAAAAGGGCAAACAGCTATTGTTAAACCAACTTGGTGACTTTATAGTTTTATTTGCTTTAGTACGTTCTTAGCTTTAACCATAAAAAAATCTGTGTTGTTGCCTTCTGGGCAACATGGGAGCTTATCAGCTGCCATACATGGTGTTTGGACTTGCAGTAGCCTAGGCTTCGGTCTTATTCTGTGTTAAGTTTTCATCCTATTCAGCTAACTCCATTCTGAAGCCAAAATCATAGTTTATCTTCTAGTGAGAGAATCTTAACTTAATATTTTGTTATTTTTTATGTGTATTTAATGTTACTGAATCTTAACTTCAGAAATAAAGCCTGTGTACTGAATCTCTTTGATTCAGTATTTCTGTTGTCTAAATGGGGTGATTCCTTTTTCAATATTTTTCCAAATAGGTTTGTGTCTGGAGAAAAGAGTCTTCTATAAGCTTATATCAGGACTTCATGCTAGTATCAACTTACATCTATGCGCGAATTATCTTTTAGAAGGTAATCAGACTTCTAAATAGAAATTTTTGTCTTCTATTTGTGTGAAAATTACTGGGGGAAATACATATTCTATGTAATTAAGAAAAAAATCTTATTTACTTAATATAATGTATTTCTCCTTCTCTTTAGAAACCTGGGGTAAACCTAGTTGGGGACCCAATATCAAAGAATTTAAACGCCGTTTTGACCCTGTGGAAACTAAGGGGGAAGGTCCAAGAAGGCTAAAGAATCTGTACTTTTTATATTTGATTGAGCTTCGAGCTTTATCAAAGGTGGCCCCATATTTTGAACGCTCAGTTGTTGATCTTTACACTGGAAATGTAGAAGAAGATGCTGACACAAAAACCCTTCTACTGAATATCTTTCAGGATACAAAGTAAGAATTGAATATTAGTGATTTGAAATTTTCCACTATGTATTTGAATGAGGTAGCTCTTGAAATACAACAAAAACTGACTCCTAAAAGTTAGGAAAAAGGAGAATTAGGGCTGAGAAGAAAAATGATCAACAGAACATCATTTAAAAAAAATTTTTTTAATTGCTAACTGAAAAGCCTCTATAAAACTTTGTTGTAAAATACACTATTTTTTAAACTGTTATAAAAATGTATGTTACACAATACTTGCCAATTTAACGTTTTTCACATACAATTTAGTGACATCAATTACATTAATCATATTGTACAACCATCACCGATATCCATTGCCAAATTTTCCATAAACACGAACTCACTGCTTCCTAAACAATGATTCTCCCTTTCTCCCTCCCTCCTGCCCCTGATAACTACTAATAAAACTTTTTGATCTCTGTACATTTGCCTAAAATAGGCTATTTTTTAAATATAAATTTTAAATTTTATGAAATATCAAAAAAATTGTTTTTGTAGTATCAAAACTTAATGCTACTTTGAATGTTCTTCCTACCAATTTTTAACATGTAATTTTTCATTACATTACTACAGATTAGTATGTAAGCAAAAATAAGCCTGTGCTTACCTTTCTTACTGGGTCATCTGCCCCCGTCAAGGACTGTAAATTTGAAAAGAGGCTTTGATTCTTTAGGAAGGTATTGTGGGATTGGAAGAGAGACAGATGCTAGCCATACCTAGAAACAGAGTCTTTGGTATGGTGAAAAAATGTGAAATTGTTTACTACAGATGATCTAGTAAGCAAGGTTAGCATTGTGTTTACCCTGCTTATTGGATAATCCCCCCCTGGTTACCTCGCTATGTTACTAAACCTTACGCATGACTAAATAATGAAATTTAAGTATTTTATAGGTATAGAAAATTCTATCAGAGCTTATTAGTACTTGAATTTTCATCTGTAACTTATTGTCATTTCATCAGGTCCTTTCCCATGCACTTTGATGAGAAATCCATGTTTGCAGGTGACAAAAAGGGAGCCAAGTCATTAAAGGTAATTAGTTCTTGACTGGGGACAAGGTGGGGGAGGTTTACTAGTTTTATTTTAATCCTATTTGTCTAAACTATTTCCAGGTTCTCCAACTTGTTGAAGTTGGTCTGATTGGATTTTACTTATAAATGGTACAAAAAGCCCTATCCATAATTCCTTCTCAATTTCATTGTCCTAGCTAGCGTGACCAACTACTTAGTGAATCCTCAGTCATGACTATGTCCAATGAGTGTGACACCATTCTAAATGTCTTTCTAAAAGATAACAGATTATTTTGAGAGAAAATGCTTTAAATTTTTTTTTTCTTTAAAATCACAGTGTATATTGTTGTTTTGATGGGTCTTTCAAAAGATCATCAGCTGTTAGCCACTTTGAGGGCAATAAGTAGTATATTTTTCTCAAGTTTATTTTATGGAATGTTACAGACTTTGAAACTGTTATGTTTTGTCCTTATGGAGTAACATAAACCTGCAAAACACCTGTTGCCGTCAAGTTATTCCGACTCATAGAACTGCCCCACAGGGTTTCTAAGGAGCGGCTCGTGGATTGAAACTGCCAGCATCTTGGTTAGCAGCCAAGCTCTTAACCACTGTGCCACCAGGGCTCCATGGACTAACATAAAAGGCAAAAATTACTTGTTAACCTCTGGTATCAGAAAGAGACTAATATTTTAGGAACATTGCCAAACTTCACGTTAGGGTTCTTTAATTTGTTTTCATTTGCTTATAGTAAATTTAGGAGTCCCTGGGTGGTACAAAACTGTTAAATGCTCAAATACTAGCCAAAAGGTTGGTGGTTTGAACTCACCCAGAGGCACTCCAGAAGACAGGCATGGCGATCTGCTTTGGAAAGGTGACAGCCTTAAAAACCTTACTTTGCACATATGGGGGTCACTATGAGTAGAAATTGACTTGATAGCAACAGTAACAACGTATTTCATTTTAGGAGTTTGTTTTGCCTTACTGTTGATGTAGAGACATACTGCTAATTGGTATTTAATACAATGTTAATTCATTTTTATGGTGCCTTCTATTTTATAAGTACTTAAATAAATATTTATTCTTTGGTCCTCATAACTCCCTTGTGTAATAGATAGAACAACTGTAATTATGTATGTTTTTATAGATGAGGAAAGTGAGACTGAGAAAGGCCCAGGGTCTCGGAACTAGCTCTCAGCTGCACAGTGCTAGCTGGAAGTGTTGTTTGCTGTTTTTTAAGGATGAATAAAGGAGAACCTAAGTCCATTTTTCCATCTGCTCTGGAGAAAATTAATTACATGAGAGCGTACAGCAAAGGAGTTTTTGTGTTCTACTTACATTGTGTTTCTTTTGGCCAAGGTATTGATTCCTTTCAACCCTCTGGGCAGCTGGGAAAGGCTTTTTGTGGCCAGATTTTTCAGGCTGCTTACCTTCAGCTTCATGCAGTAGAATATTTACCTCAGTGCAATAAAATAATTTTTATTTTCTATATTTTCCATTCTGTGAAAAAGATCAGGAAACATTTTTAAACCCATGTTAACCTCAGGTATGGTGAGGTAGGGTGAAACTTACCTGAGAGTCATAGGAAACTATGCACAGATGCCCACAGGCAGAAGACTCTCCGCTGTATAGGAAAACATCACAGCAAAACACAGGATCCAGTAAGCATCCCTGTAGAATCTGCATCAGTGAATGTTCGCAACTGTAAGCTCAGACAGCTGGTACGGCCCTGTGGTCATCAGTGTTGACTGAGCACCCTTTACAAGCATGATGTGATACTGAGAATAGATATAAAAATTGGTGATTTTTCTGGAACTAGCTTTCTGATTTAGGCCCACACAAAGCAAAACATCAAAAAAAAAAAAAGAAAAAATCCATAAAATATATTTACCATTGGTTGTATGCAGATATCAAATAGAATAGTTAGTTCCTTAAAAGTAAAGACCATGTGTTATTTACTTTTGTGTCCCCCATAGTGCATATCTTGGTGGATTTCATAGAATAGTTTCTCAATAAAAAAATTTGTTGAATTAATATGTGGAGTGAATTTTATAAATTTGCTGTAATGTCAGTTTTTCATCTGCCATGTTATGCATGTTATAGAAATTCAAATATTTTTATTATTCACTATAGAAAACACAGCTCATTCATTAATAAACTTAAAATTTTTTATTTCTTATAGTTTAGCCAAGTGCAATTTAATTTTAAAAGTCTAATTAGAGTGAAAATATTTTCTGCATGTTAGGAGGAATTCCGGCTGCATTTCAAGAATATCTCTCGTATAATGGACTGTGTTGGATGTGACAAATGCAGATTATGGGGGAAATTACAGGTGTGTGTATTGTTTTCTGTTTTGAAATTATTACTAACCTTAACTTTTTTCACTGATAAGTTCAAAAGTTTTTATTAAAAAGTCTTCACTGCCCATCGAATTAAAGTTTAGAAATAGGCAGTTCCAAGGTGTAGTTTTTCCATTTTATTGATGAAAAATCAGTATTATTAGGTCTATGTATCATATGTGTATGTGTAATGATATTTTTTATATTATCCAAAGTTAATGGTTTTGTAGGTTTCTTTGTATCTGTTTATCTTGGTACAATCTCAGATTCATTTCTGAAGTTGGTGTTATAAACAAAGTGTATTAGTATTTTATATATTTATAAGTATATACTTACACAAAATATGGTTGGGACCCAAGACACAAGGGAAGGATTAGTCCAAAGGACTAATGGACCACAAGCACCACAGTCTCCACCAGACTGAGTCCAGCACAACTAGATGGTGCCTGGCTACCACCACCGACTGCTGTGACAGGGATCACAATAGAGGGTCCTGGACAGAGCTGGAGAAAAATGTAGAACAAAATTCTAACTCACAAAAAAAGACCAGACTTATTGGCCTGACAGAGACTGGAAAAACCTCAAGAATATGGCCCCTGGACACCCTTTTAACTCAGTACTGAAGTCACTCCTGAGGTTCACCAAAGATTAGGCCCATAAAACAAAACAAGGTTAAATAGGCACACCAGCCCAGCGACAAGGACTAGAAGGTAGGAGGGGACAGGAAAGCTGGTAATGGGGAACCCAAGGTTGAGGAGAGTGTTGACATGTCATGGGGTTGGTAACCAATGTCACAAAACAATATGTGTATTAATTGTTTAATGAGAAACTAATTTGCTCTGTAGACCTTCATCTAAAGCACAGTTAAAAAAAAATATATGATTGGTAAAATATAGTTGGGAAAAGATAAAATATAGCTATGTAAAAAGACTTAAATATCAAATTTTGGTGATTGACATTCTTTCAGTGATCAAAAGAAGTCCTCGTAGACACAGAGTAGGAAGACTCTCCCAGGCAGGTCCATTAACGTTATGTTCAGTGTAAAAAGGATTGTTTGGTATTTTATCTCTTATTTTCTTACAAAAGTGAGAAGTCATAGAAAATCAAGAGAGAATTATTTTAATGGAAGTTACACTAAAAACAAGGCCATTAGTAGTTCAGTGGTAGAATTCTCACCTTCCATGCAGGACACCTGGGTTCGATTCCCAGCCATTGCACCTTATGCACAACCACCACCCATCTGTCATTGGAGGCATGCGTGTTGCTGTGTTGCTGAACAAGTTTCAGCGGAGCTTCCAGACTATGACGAACTAGGAAGAAAGGCTTGGTGATCTGTTGTTGTTGTTAGGTGCTGTCGAGTCGGTTCTAACTCATAGCGACCCTACGTACAACAGAATGAAACACCGTCCCGTCCTGTGCCATCCTCACAGTCGTTGCTATGTTTGAACCCATTGTTGCAGCGACTGTGTTAGTCCATCTTGTCGAGGGTCTTCCTCTTTTTAGCTGACCCTCTGCTTTACCAAGTATGATATCCTTCTCCAGGGACTTGTCCCTCCTGACAATATGTCCAAAGTACGTGAGACGAAGTCTCACCATCCTCACTTTTAAGAACATTCTGGCTGTACTTCTTCCAAGACACAATTGTTCATTCTTCTGGCAGTCCATGGTGTAAGAAGAAAGGCTTGGTGATCTGCTTCCTAAAATTAGCCAGTGAAGACCTTATGGATGACAACAGTCTGATCCCCATTTGTTCATGGGGATGGTGCAGAACTGGGCAGCGTTTTGTTCCGTTGGGCGTGAGGTCTCCATGAGTTGGAGGCTGATGGAATGGCAACTAACAACAGCAACACTAAAAACAGATAATTATTTTGCTCTAGTGCTTATAGCTGAGAAATTATTAAGTATTCATGTCTCTAATAATCTCTGAGGTTTGAATTGCTAAGGGCGATAGGAAATGCTTTTAAAATTACATATGGAACACTGAAATTCTAACCTTTTTAACCTCTTCTTAAAGGTTAAAAAAGAAGACATTTTAATAATTTAGTATAGTATAATATGTGTCCAACAAGCATTAAACTATTCAAGTTTCCTTAACAGCTTAGATAAATGTATCATATGGGTAATCTGTGAGGAAGTAGAAACCATAATGACTTCTTACTGGGAAATCCATACTTTTTATTTTTAAAACTCATTTGAACTGTTTACGCTTCCCAAAGAGTCCCGAGGTGGCGCAAACAGTTAAGTGCTCCACTACTGGCCAAAAAATTCGTGGTTCTAACCCACCCAGAGTTGCCTTGGAAGACACGCCTGGGAGAGCCTTCCTACTCTGTGTCTACGAGGCCTTCTTTTGATCACTGAAAGAATGTCAGTCACCAAAATTTGATATTTAAGTCTTTTTACATAGCTATATTTTACCTTTTCCCAACTATATTTTACCAATCACGCCGAAGGGTCACAGCCATTGAAAACTCTATGGAGCAGTTCTACTCTGCACAGATGGGGTCACCATGAGTCAGGATCAACTTGACAGTAACAACAAGCTTTTTAAACTTTGTCTTTTTACAGGATATTTTACACAGTTTAACATTTTGGGGAATAGCTCAGTTTATATGAATTTCCTGTCTGTCATTACAGTACTGAATATTCCTTTAAGCCTTTTTAGTAGTTGTTAGTATATAAATTTAATTGTAAGTTTATTGCTGTTTTCGTTAGACTCAGGGTTTAGGAACGGCTCTGAAAATATTATTCTCTGAAAAAGAAATCCAAAAGCTTCCAGAGAACAGCCCATCTAAAGGCTTCCAGCTCACTCGACAGGAAATAGTTGCTCTTTTAAATGCTTTTGGAAGGTAAGAACCATTTTGACAGGGAAATCTTTTGATTCCGTTGGCTCAACAAAATGCAAAGATCACCTCCTCTCCTAACGTAGGATTTTTTGTTTTGTTTTGTTCAAAAAGAGAATTATCATCATATATTATCATACCTGCACTCATTTCACGGAGCCCTGGTGGCACAGTGTTTAAGTGCTCAGCTGCTAACCTAAGGGTCAGTTGTTTGAACCCACCAGCTGCTCTGGGGAAAAAATGTGGCAGTCTGCTCTTGTAAAGATTTACAGCCATGGAAAGCCTATGGGGGCAGTTCTGCTCTGTCCTATATGGTCATTATGAGTCGGAATCGACTCAACGACATCAGGTTTGGTTTTGGTTTTTCGTTGCATTTTAGAGTGTCATTAATGCTCACAAGTTAGTTTCTCTATGGGCCATAAGAAAAATAAATAATTTCCGATCTCCAGGTTTCTCAGTTTGCCTCCTCAGTTTTGTGGGGAAAATACTTTCCTATTAATATTCACTTTAGCTAGCTAGAATGTATTCAAGTACAGTAGCGGGAGTAAGGAAAGCTTGGTTGAAAAGATCATAAAAGAAAAAGAGATTCAGCCCTTCAACTGCTCTTTCCTTATTTCTTAAGCTGAGGAGGCATTTTTTTCTTTCTGTACATTTTTATTATTTCCTTGAAGAATGTTACAGTTTTTCCTATAATTGTTAATGGGATCTGTTAACTTCATTATATCTTCCAACTGATTATCAGTCTATTTAAGTAGTGAATGATTTTGGCCTCACTAACAAAATTAAGGAGCCCTGCTGGTGCAGTGGTGAAGCGCTTGGCTGCTAAATGAAAGGTCAGCAGTTTGAACCCACCAGCCGCTCTGCAGGAGAAGGATGTGGCAGTCTGCTTCCTAAAGTTTTACAACCTTGGAAACCCTATGGGGCAGTTCTGCTCTGTTCTACAGGGCGATTCGACAGCAGTGAGTCAGAATACGATTCGACAGCAATGAGTTTGGTTTTTTGGAACACAAAATTATTGTGTTCCTTTTTGGAGAGTTTTTCTTAAATGAATTACTTGGTAGCTTTCTCTCTTTGATAACCCATTTAATACAGTTCTGCCTCAATTAGGGCCACCCACCACAGCATTGCCTTGGTGTGTAAGGCTAGTGGGCAGAGACCTGGGATGAACATTGTCTTTGGCCACTGAATCCTAGAAAATCTGGTTTCTTTGAGTAGTGCTAGCCAGTCTGTTATGTTTACTCTGCAAGTGCCTTTCCTCCATCAGAAGCCAATTTTGTTACCAATTCAGATCAATGGTTTATTTTCCAGTGGACAAATAGGTATGACATTAATATATCTGCTGGATGTTAAAATATGTTTTACTGCCCCTCTAAAGAGTAAAGCAGTAGGTGGATGTAGGTATGCCCTGGGCCTTGCTGTGTCCTCCATTAGCATAATAATAGAGAATGTGAAAAATAAATATTGGGTAATAAATAATGAGGTCTGGACTGCATCTACACAGCGACTATGCTGTAATGGTCCCATATAGGGCTCTTCAGTTTGTGCTAACATTTCCAATAGAGTATTCCAGGAGCTAAAGGGGTATACCTGTAGTTATTTTGTATAACCTTTGAGTTCTCTGATCCTCTGTATTTTGTGTCAAAACTGGGCTTTGAGCGTGATGTTTTTCATTCTGAACACATATACTGCTATTTACTAAGATCTCTATTCTTTAGTTATGGGCTTTAATTTCTTTACCCTACCTTCATATATATTATGGTGCAGTGTTTCTTTTTTGTTTGTTTGTTTGTTTTTGGCGGGGGGTGGGTGTTGGTTAGTTTTTTTAACAAGTATTTGAATTGCAACATATATTTTTACACATTTATTTTGTTTAATAGTAAAAATATATTGTCTTTTTCGTAATAATTAAGAGTAGTTTACAGCCTTTAATATTTGGGGAACTAGAGTAAGACTACATTTCCTATTAATCCTACACAACTTGTGAAGGTTGGAAGAAAAATGTTTGAGACCATAGAAAACAAATTTTTTGAAAGACCATATGTCATAATACGAGTGGATGGGCTTTGGAATCCAGTGAACCTAGTTAGAACCCACCTACTAGCTGGATGACCCTGGTAAAACTACTTGATTTATTTGAGCCCCGGTTTTCCTAAAATGTAAAATCAGGATTAATTATATCTACGTTGTAGGATTTTTAACAAATAATGAGGTCATGTATGTGATGTGCTCAAAACATTGCCTGGCATATCCTAAGCTCTCAATAAATAGTAACTGTTCTTATTTCAACTACTTACGGAAAGGAGCTTAATACTACATATTACATCATACTAAATTCCAGGAAAGAAAGACATTAGATTTTTATTGTATTGACCCTGCTTTTATATAACAATAAATGAACTTACAGAATTATTTTTCGTGATTTCCACTCAAGTTGTACTTCTGAGCCTGAGCTCAGAAGCACTTCATTCATTCATTCAATAATAATCTATGGAATGCCATAAAAATCGATGGATTCTGGGCGTAAGGATTCAGAAACAGACAAAATAAACAGAATCTTTACCCTCATGGAGCTAACAGTATAAAACAAATTAATGTGTTTCCGGAACAAGGAAAAAGGAGGGGTAACTTGGAGAGGAGTGTACAAAATGAATTTATAAGACCAAATGTAAATGATTTAAGATTCTTTATTGTTATATCACTGTTACCATAATTAATCTAGAGTCTGTCGATCGTAAGAAGTAACTGTCTACCTTTGCCTCTTTTAAACCAGGACTAAAGAACCATAGCTCTGTGTCTCGTCAGTCTCTAATGAGAAATTACAGCAATACTCATTTAAAAATGTGTTGCTTGTACCTTTTTAGATTTTGCTTTCAAATTATAGCCTATGTAAAAATGTCAATAATTCGATATATGTACTAATATGCTTTTTTTTCCTCCCTTACAGGCTTTCCACAAGTATAAGAGAATTACAGAATTTTAAAGTATTATTACAGCACAGTAGGTAATACAGGCTTTTACTTGTTTCTTTAGAGACATAAAGGGACTGTGGGAAGCCTTTTAATCTTGGACCTTCAGCAGATTAGAGATTAATCTCCTAACTTCAAGAATTTTGAACTCTTTAAAGGGAAAATTCAGATACTCACTTGAATATTTATGATCCTTCATAGATTATTATCAATGGGAGATATTTATAAATGAAGTATATACTTTTAAAACATGTAAGTTATACCACTTCTGTTTACTTTCCCTTGTTTCCACCTGTTTAATATTCTGCTATTCCATTTGTTTAGAAATAGTTTTGTTCTTATTGTATTATTCTTTACTTCCAGTTGTCAAACCTTAAATGAGTGTGTCTCCATCATAATCACAATGTTAATAGTCTGCTATGGAAAAGGAGAACTGGGGAACAAATGTTGCTTAGGGCTAGTATCAGTGATAAAAACTTATCAATAATTTTTTAATGTGTAAAAAAAAGCCCATCCTAGCTCTGTGTCACTTTATATAATATGGAATTGTCAGTGTGATGAATGGTCCTTTAAATGTATACCCAGAAGTTTACAGATGTTCCTTAAGAATCCCCAGGACTTCAACTTCAGTTTCACTGGTTTTTATTTAAGATTTTTAGTTGCTGTTGTTGCTGTTTTGCTTTGATCTAACATATCTGCCTTGGTAAAAATGAGTAAGTACTCTCCCTGTGCTATCCAGCCAGGTTTCATGTATGGCTGACTCAAGAATATTCTTTTACTTAGAATCTATCAATCAGTTTCTTTAGATTTTTTCTTTCTTTGTTCTCACCCCAAATGTAGAAACTCGTTTTCTTTAAGACAAAAAAAAAAAAAAGAATAGAATAAATAAGTATTTATTTAACAGAGTACTTCTCAATAAAATCTGAATGGGACTATATGCATTTGTAACACCAACTGAAAACATAATACACAAAAGTTGCTATTTAAAACTTTCTTTTTTTTTGCTATTATAAATTAAGCATTTTATTTTAGATTACAATCTATGCAATCCTGTTAACTCTCATTCTTATTTTCCTTGGTTGGATATCTAAGCAGGTAAATTTGTTCAAGCCTCCTTTAAGTCCGCTTCCCACTTTTTCTTTTCATTTTAGTTCATTGTATATAAATGGTACTTGGTGTGACTTGTACCAACAGGTAACTCATAAGATCTAAACTGTCATTTTCTAAACCTTGGGACTTAGGTATCATTAAACAAATATTTACAGTATTGATTCTTTTAAAAGGTATCAGTAGATACGTGATTTGGAAGGTTGCGTCTGTGTAGAAGTAATGCGGGTACAAAATATAGAGTCTCACTTTAGACTCTTCAGTCGTTTGCAAAGTAAATAACAAGTGCTCTTAAACCCTTATCTTATCCTGCCAAAGTCTGAAATGTGTTTATCGGTGATTTAATGGAGTAAGTTATTTTAAATTGTATTTAGTTCTACCACCCCTCTTTTAAAAATATTTAGCTGTCCTTTGAAGAGGGATGACTGAGGGAAAGTAAGGTTATCACTAGAATTATTTTCTTACCTAATTTATAAATTTCATAAACTCAGCTTTTTGTTTTTATTGTTGGTGATGTATTTTGTTAAGTTGAATAAAAAAGGCTGACTTGATTGAAGCCTCTCCCACTTTTTCTTTTTTTTTAGGGATGCAAATATAGCATGGTGGGGAAGGAGTCCCTAACGCAGATTTGTCTAGAAAGTGAATATCTAAATTATCTTACTGGTAAATTAATAAGAATTATTCATTACTTAGTGTTCAAGAGTTTAAGAAAATGTGAAAATTTTGCACTTTGTCTATTATTATTATTACTGTATGTTTAAATATCTTTTTGGTAGTGTTACTTTACCATTCCTTCAGTAAAAGAAAAAGACTATTATTTAAACTCTCCTTACTTGAGAAAATCCTTGGTCATTTCCATTTGTTGCTTTTTATCTTTACTGTGATTTGTTTTAAGCTTAGGAAAAATGTATATTAGAGTCAGTTTTAGGAAAACAAAAGGTCTACTTAGGGTAAAAAGTTCTTTTCAAAGTTTTGGCACATTATCTCACTACTAAGAGAATAAACAAATGAAGTATTCTTAAACAGCAATTCACTGAACTTTATTTTACCATAAAATCAATTGGGGTCGGGGGGTGTGGGGTGGGAGGACGGTAATTTTTGTGTGTGTATTTTTTAAATGATTGTATAAACTGGAGGAATCTTTGTTTTGTGAACCTGGTGATATTTGATGGTCCTTGTGATATATAAACTGTTTTTCCAATTCACATACTTTTTGTTGTGAAGTGATAATAGAGTACTGACTGCATTGTGAAAATCTTTGGCTGGTAAATACCTCTTGGCATTTTGTCTTTCTCTCATTACCTAATTTAAAAATCCAGCACTTATAACTGACCAAAATGATTGTGGCAGCTGATGAGGTAATGAAAATGAAGAAAAGGAAAATATTGTTTCCTTTAATGGCTTGACTTTACTCTTTCTTAAGTGGCATCTATGTAAAGTAGAAAAACTATTAAAATTGGTGAACTTTGAATGTTTCTTCTGTTTTGCTTCTTAGATTACGAATAGGATCAGACAAAATGTAATAGATTTCACAGTTTTGAAATCTGATAAGTGAAAACATTTTAATATTGTGAATTACTCGATGCTTGTAACATCTTTATGTATATGAAACACTGTGCTGTATTTTCCAACTTTGTCAGGTGCCATTGTATGTAAGAAAGGACACCTATTTTGATCTTCACAGCATTGCCTTCAACTGGAAATTTGGGAACAGCTCACAGTAAGCCTCTCAGCAGTTTACAAACTGAAGTACCTGCAGAAACCATAGCTGTTCACCAAAATACACAGATTGGGTGCATGGTATTATGGAAACTATTTGGTAAAAACGAAACACAAATTCAAATTCATGTGTACGGCAAAGTAACATTTACAGGTGCAGCTTTGATTTTGAACAAAATTCCAAATAAGCTGCTAATGTACCCAACAGATTCTAGAAAATGTGGATTAAAGTAAATGTTTCTGCAGTCTTTTCTTGCTTTTTTTGCCTCCTAAGTGTTCCTTTTATGAGGATTTGATTATAATTTGTGGAGAAGGAAGAAAATATATTTGTAAGTAGTCTGATACTGTTTCTTATTATAGTCATGATAGCAAGCATTTGCTGACACTATATTAAGGGCTTTACATGCATTATCTTATTTAATCTTCACAACAGCACTAGTAGGTAGGTAAAATTACTTCATTTTATAAATGAAAAATGAGAATTAAGAAAGACTTGTAACTTGTCCACGGTCACAAATTCTATGTTGTAGAGCTAGAATTTGACTCCAGAGCCTCTATTCAGAATGTGGTATATTCATATAATTTCATGGTTGGTCTATTACCATTCAGCTAAAAATTGGGGACTTTTAATATCTTTTGATTTGAACTGAGTCATGTGGCTTTTTTTAAAAATATACTTTTTATTTAATGTTTTGAATAGGTAATACATTCACATGGTTCAAAAACCAAAAAATATAAAAAGTTATACAATGAAATGTATTCCTTCCATCTTTGCCCCATCTTCTCAGTAACACCCCCCCCTCCCCACCCACTACCATCATAAATAACCTCTGTTCTTGGATTCTTATTTTTCCACCATCCAGACTTTTTAGGCATATACAAGCAAATACAAATGTAAAGTCTTGTTTTTTCTCTCATTTTTACCCAAAGAGTGGCATCATATATATACTGTCTTTCACTTTGTTTTTTCCCTTAATATTTCTTGGTAATCTTCCCATATTACTAGATAGTGTTCCTGTTTTTTCAGTGGCTGCTTCGTATTCCATGGTGTGGATGTGTCATCATTTCATTAATCAGTCCCCTGTACGTTTGCCATTTCACATGTATGTAAGTGTAAGTACCTGTAGGATAAATTCCCAAAAGTGGAATTGTTGGGTCAAATACCATATGCATTTGTAATTTTGAAAGATATTGCCATATTACTCTCCTTAGTTACCAGTTCATATACCCACCTGCAGTTTATCGTGGTGTCTGCTTACCCACAACCTCACCAACCCAGATGTTATCAGACTGTGAGATTTTTACCATTCTGATTTATGAAAAATTATCTCTCAATGTATTTTTAGTTTATATCTTTCTTAATACGAGTAAGGCTGAGCACCATTTAATATGTTTAAGGGCTGTTTGTATTTCCTTTTGTGTTAATATCTTTTGCCCATTTTTCCACTGCATTGTTGATCTTAGCAATATCTAGGAGTGCTTTATATGTTACAGTAAGTTATAGATCCAACCTAATTTTTTCGCAGATGACCACCCAGTTGTTCCAGTTCCACTTACGGAACAGCTAATCTTTTCCCTAGTAGCTTGAGAGGCTGTATTTATCATATGGAAATTCCCGTTATGTATTTGGTTATCTGGGTTCTCTGTTTCATTGATCTGCCTATCCATGTACCAGTACCACGTTGTTTTATATTTTCACATCTAAGTGTGTTGGGACTCTCATTCCGTGCCCCCCCCCCTTTTTTTTTTTTACTGTTTTCCTAGCTGTTATTTGTATGTTTTTCTATATATGAGCTTTAAAAAAAAAATCCTTTAACATATGGATTATGCTAAAGCTCTGTCCAACTCAGTGTTCTTGAGGGTTGCACTTTTAACCATTTGATGCAGCACTATTCTTTTGATACTACCTGATAAAGGTCTACTTTTCACTACTTGCTGTATTATTCATTAGTGTTTGTCAGTGCCCAAACAGGTAAGGACAAAGAGGCAGGATGCAGTGCTTGTGCAGAAAAAGTTCCAGTGCTTCTATTTTAATACTTGGCCCCCAGAAATGATTTGGGCACTGTTTTATATGTAAAATCCTTATTTCCTTTTTTATTCCATTATGAATCTTTTCTTCAAAAGTTGGATATTTGTCAAAGATTCATAAGGCAACAGAGAGATGCCCTTAAATAAATGAATATTAAACTTGTAAAATAAATATACAGTGACTAGAAGTACAAGTGCAAGAAGTTACCTAAAAAAAAAGAAGAAACAACATTTACCAGAAGAACAGTATTTGACAATTCATTATTCTAGGAGCTAGAAATACAGCAGTGAACAAAACAGACAAAAAATCCCTACCATCATGTAACTTACATTCTAGAATATAACCTAACTACATTATATCTAGTTTATAGTGAAAAATGTACCCAAAGAAAGAATATAGGAACCAGAGAGGAATGGCTAACAGAAGCCTGTCTAGTGGAGAAGGTACCCTCAAAGGTACCCTCAATATAAATGAATTCTAGTGTCTTCTTGATGGTGCCATCAGGCTGTCATAGATAGATGCCATTAATCAAGTAAAATCATCCACCTAACACCCTTTGATCAGATCAGAGTCAGCATTCACCAAGCAACATTCTGATAAATGTAATTTTCAATGTGGCTTTCCTTCACAGAATATACCTTCAGGTAGGTGAGTCTTCTGGTCTCTTCGACAGTTTGTATTCCTTAGTATGCTACATAAATTGGTATTATTTTGTAAATTAGGTTAACATAAATCAATTCCAAAGAAGTTGATCATGGAGGTTTTAAATATGCAGACTTGAAGCCCAGACTGGGTTAGTGAATTCACCAAGGGGATAACATATTAAGGACAGTAAGTCATATAAATTTAATGGCCCTGGTAAAGCAGTACTTGTTTATCCTAAACAATCCTTTTTATACTTCAACTAATGCCTTCGAGGAGAACCATGACTTGGCACTGCATAGAGACTGGTGGGACTGTTATGGGTTAGTAAGATACATGGAAAGTTGAGAATCAAGACAAGTCAGAGCAACCATGAAACCAAAACCTGTTGCTGCAGAGTTGATTCCAACTCCTAGCAACCCTATAGGACAGAGTAGAACTGCCCCATAGGGTTTCCACAGCTGTAAATCTTTATGGAAGCAGACTGCCACATCTTTCTCCCCTGGAGCAGCTCGTGGGTTTAAACCACCGACCTTTTGGTTAGCAGCTGAGCACTTAACCACTGCACCACGAGGGCTCCTTTATCAGAGCAACAGAAGTCACTATAAAAAGGGAAGGCTTCTGAGGATCATATAGGCTAATGAGAAACAGGTCACAGATATAGCTGAAGAGAATAGGTGTCTGAGCTCCAGTTCTAACTAAAGTTCAGAGGCAGAAACTCCATTCTGGGTGTAGTATACTATTTAGAATGGTAGGGTAGCCAAGGTCAAAAAAGGCAGACCAGCTTTGAAGGCTAATTAATGTTTTGGCAAGGTATTAATCAGTTTCTGGGAAGACAGGCCAGGACCCAGCTGTAGGTCAAGGAACAGAGGTAGGGAATCCAGATTTGGAGGAACTAGGTAGGTACTATTAGGAGTGGTTGAGTCTCTGGATTTGGATCTAAAACATTGAGCCCATACTTGATTACCTGGTAGCCAGTCTTGGAACTCTAGACTGAATAATGAATGCAGTATCAGTGCTTAGGCCCAAAGGAGCTGGGTAATAGGTATAAGAATCAGACACAGAGCTCCTGGTTGGGGGTACAGAGACATCATCAGCACCCTTCAAGGCATTTTGACCCTTTGGTGCAGGGGCTCTCCATATGTCCCTGCTCAGAGCCATAGTCGAGTGTATATATGGGCACTGCTGAGTTGACAGACTGGGACCCAAAGACACATGACAGCTGCCTCATCCAGTGTCTAGCATTTAATAGGCACTCAATAAACACGGATGGAATTCCATGTTACCCTTATTTTCCTATTTTTAATAAACAAGTGTTTCTGCACTTCAACCAAATAATTTATTATAGTCTTTGATGAGAATAAGTCTACTATTTTAGCCTGATCCTTTCCAGCAGCTCCTCACCTGGACCATGAGAAGTCTTAAGTAGCATTATGCCCAGTCAGAAATGTTTTTAACTAATATAATTCTCACTTACATAGGCTAAAAAATGGGGCTACATATTAGAAGTGTCTAATCAGACTTATACTAGTCTGTATTTTATGCGAAAGCAGGGTATTTTGTTAATCAAGTTTCTTTAGTTGGAAATCTTGATAAAAGTTTCAAATACGTAGATCCATTTAGTTTTAACGTAAGTTTGCCTTTATTGTTAACAACAACGAAACAATATTCTAGTAATATCCACTATGTAATATAAATGAGAACTTTTTTCTTACAATACTTCCTAAGCTCGAGGGTTTACTAATGCTTTTTTTTTTCCCCCCCTATATTAGGGGTTAAGTGTTCAAGTTCAACAATGAATAATTCTCATGGATTTTGGTGGGCAAAAAAGTTGGGGATGCACTGGTCAGTGTGCCTGATCTAAGTAGCTAACCCTGACAACCAACACAGTTACTGAGAATGTGCCCAATACAGTCAAGAGATAACTGGCATAATTAAATGTGATTTATGTGTATAATAGTAAAAACTTTTTACAGTCCACAACTCCGCATGTAACACACCCCAGATGTTTTAATCATTGGCTCAATTAAACAGGTCGATTGTAAGAAGGAAAAAGAGCCAATGAAAGACATCATCTATACAAATCAGTTGGAAGTCTTAGACACTAACTGCAGAGAGAGAGACCTAGTATGCATATTGCCAGTAGTTAAACAGAAACACTCATATGCAGCCTTTTGGTGTTACTTTAACTTAGATAAATAATAGTACCAAATTTTCAGTGATATTCCCCATATATTTTTAACTTTCAAATTGTATGCTTTAAAAGCTAGAAGTTATTTGGATATTTTAGAACCAGTAATCACCATTCCGTTCTCTCTCTCAGCATTTAATAGTTTACATGAGGACTAGCTTTATTAGTGTACTTAGCACATATAAATTAGGAAGCTAAAGGGAATTTTAATTTTTCTTCCCACACAGTTCCTGCAATATTTTACAGGGTATACATAATCATTTACTATGACAGAAAGTTAATTTGATACAATGATAGTTTTTTACATCCTACAATGAGTCTACAACACTTGCGTTTTAGCACTTTTTTTTAAAGTGGGAGAAGGAGAAAGACAGGCACTTAGAACATTTTTAAAATCCTCTCCAACAAAAAATATAGTTCAAATAAATACTAGCAGCTTTATCATAAAAGTGGATTGTGGCATTCATCAGTTAATGCTGGCTATTTCAAATTTTCCTGCCAGTAATAATTATAAACAGTGTTTACATATCATAGAATGAATATAATAATTGTATGATTTTAGTGATATTTTTAATCAAAAAACAAACCAAACCGGTTGCTGTCAAATTGATTCTGACTCATATTGACCCTACAGGACAGAGTAGAACTGCCCCATAGGATTTCCGAGGCTATAAATCTTTATGGAAGCAGACTGCCACATCTTTCTCCTGCAGAGCTGCTGGTGGGTTCGAACAACTGACCTTTCAGTTAGCAGCTGAACACTTAACCACTAACAAAAATATATATCTAGCTTTAGCTGACCTAATATTGAGGATTTGCAGGACTTTCTGCAGGCATGATTTAAAGATTTTTTTTTTACTACGAATATTAAGCACATGTTGAGTTTGCCGTAACAAAGACAGTATGACCATAATAGGGTGTTCCTAAAGCTGTTTAGAATAACAACTTGTAATACTTTATTATTTTAAGGCAACCTGAATGATCAGTGCAGATTTTGCTTCAGTGTGGAATTTTCCCAGACACAGTAACTATTTTAAATGATACGTGACCCAAATTCTTCCATAGATTGAAAGGCAAGAATGTTATGTGGGATTTGCAGAGTAAAGGTATTCTATACAAATGAAAAACCCAATCATGGCCCATTTAAAAACCTGATAACCCAATTTTAAATACTATCAAAGTAATATAAATAGACTTGATCTCTATGAAAACAATGGCAAGAGATTAAACCATTCATGAAGACCAAAATGGGAAATAGGAGTCATTTGAAATGGGTTTCATCATGTAGGTAGGACTTCTTAATGGAAGTTCCTTTTCATCTGCCCCTCCCTCTGCTGAGATTTGAGATTTCCTAGGGAAGAGCGAAATGGCACTTTCTCTCTGGTAACAGTACTTCCTCTAGTACCTATGTCTGGTTTGTAGAAAATCAGAGCATTTAACATCCCCAACAGAGCCATGTACCAGTCTCCCATTATAGGCTGTTTTATGGCTGGAGAATATACGTAGTGGAGGTTTTAGAACAGTACTTCTGGTTGGGGAAGCAGCAATTCATGACATGTTTTTCACTTAAATGAAAAACAACTTACAAAGCAATTCTGGAATGTGCCCTTTAACATGGCTAAGAGACAGGCATTATCCTATAGCACGTTGTAATGCTACTCCTATCTTAAACATGCAGTTTAAATAACTCTGCTTTTAGAGTTATTTAAAGATAAAGGGCACTGCTTTCAATATGGCTGAAAATTAGAGGAAAAACAATTAGGATTCCACAATCATTTGGCTGTAGCGCCAGGGGTATTTATCATTAATCCCCCTTTTGGAATCTCTTTTTACCTTGAATATAATGGAAATTCAGCTAGTTGGGAAAGCTGTAGTCTTGCTGTAGTCCTGAGTTAATGGATTTCATTGGGCTGAAAATTATGCAGAATCTCTATGAATACAGCAGACCAATTGCTGTCAAGTCGGTTCCCCAACTCATAGCAACCCTACACGATTTCCAAGGATGTAAATCTTTACAGAAGCAGACTGCCACATCTTTCTCCCACAGAGCAGGTGGTGGGTTTGAACTGCAGACCTTTTGGGTAGCACCCAACCACTTTAACCACTGTGCCACCAGGGCTTCTTACGGGATTTAACAGTGTAAGTCAGCTCTATATACATTATCAACGTGTTATCATTAAATTGTATACATTAGTGCCTTGCTGAAAGGAACTACCAAACTTTTGGAAAAATTTAAGAGATTCTTTGAGGACCAATCATCTGAGCCTTAAAGATCACTAAGGAGCCAGCTACCTTGTTGTTGTTAGTTGCCATTGAGTTGATTCTGACTCATGGCAACTTCACGTGTACAGAGCAGAACTGCTCCATGGAGTTTTCAAGGTTGTGACCTTTCAAAAGCAGACAGCCAGGTCTGTCTTCCAAGGTACCTCTGGGTGGGTTCAAACCGCCAACCTTTCGGCTAGCAGTCTAGCGCTTAACCATTTGTGCCACCCAGGGACTCCCAGTTACCTTACAGTCTACCAGTATTCCATTACATTTTAATATTCAACACTGGAGTTGCAGTTAGCTCTATGGATGTCAGTTATATTTTAGGAGTCTACCAATGTAGAGCTCAGAATATGACTGACCCGAAGAGATAAGGATTTGAGGAACACTGCAGTCTAAAAAGCCTTAAAAAACTATTAGACCATATACTGTATTGTTTTAAAGTGAATTATGCATAAACGTTTGTGCAAACCAAAACATATATTGCAATAACATTCTCAGGAAAAAAACCCTAGTATATTTTAGCATTATTATTTAAGTTATATAAAATCCATCTTTATAAAAGTACAGTTAAAAAAAAAAAAAAGTTTAACTTATGCCCACTGAAATAGCCAGGCTCACTTTTTAGTACTAAAATAAGGTCTTATCAATCTAAATTATTGCTTAGTCCTATGGAGACACCAGAAACCTGTAACAAAAATCAAGTCCTATTTCTTTAGGAAAAGTGCCTTAAAAGTTCAACTGTCATTAAGTTTGTCTTTCTGAAGCTTTTCAAGTGAGGAATCTTCCAAAATACTGTGAACTGATGCTACCCATGGCTTGGTTTGTCAGGATCCAAAGTTGAGTCTTGTGGCAAAGTTCCTACTTGTGCCATGAAGCTGTTAGTTTGTTGTCCCCAATCATAATAGTCTGGAGCAAAACTTAAAAAGAAAAAGAAATATTTCATTGACTTGAAACATTATACTTAGTATTTATGACATGTCTATTTGAGGTAAACAGAGTTGGGATTTTCCATAAATTAGCCAATCCCAAAGTTTCTTGAAGTTTTGTGGCTTATTGAAACCAATTTTCCCACAAAACAGTGCTATGCAGTTATTAAAAGCCTGCCCACAAAAGTCTACTGAATTTATATAGCCCAAACCCAAAACCCATTGCTGTTGAGTTGATTCCAACTCATCGCCCAGAACCAAAAAACCAAACCTGTTGCCGTCGAGTCGATTCCAACTCATAGTGACCCTACAGGACAGAGGAGAACTGCCCCATAGTTTCCAACGAGCGCCTGGTGGATTCGAGCTGCTGATCTTTTGGTTAGAAGCCGTGGCTCTTAACCACTGTGCCACCAGGATTTCCAGAAGTATAGTATTAATACAGCCATTAACCAATCACTGTGTATAATAAATTTTTTAGCAAAAAATTGTTTCTGAATCCTAACTTGGAGTATAGCTTATTATCCGTCTTTGGACAAATAATTTATGTGCCTCAATTTCCTCATCTGTAAAATGCAGGGCTTTGAACCAGTTTGTTCTGGTTTGAACCCCCGCTGATAATTTTGCATTTCTAACATGTTCCCCCAGAAGTAATACAAAAGAATCACCTGGGGATCTTGTTAAAATGTAGATTCTGATTCAGTGTTATCTGGGGTGGAAATGCAAATTTTCAGCAGGGGTTCGAGCTGGAAGGAACCAGTTGGAAGCCCTGGTAAAATAGGGATAATATTAGTAACTACCTTGTTTGGCTATTTTGGGAATTAAGTGAGTTAATACCTATAAAGTGCTTAGAACAGTATCTAATATATGTTAGCATTCAAAATGTAAGTTGCTTTCATGTTTATTATTTTCTTCTATGTACTGGAAAAGGGATCTCGTCCCTATATAAGTAGTGACGACTCCCTCAGCTCTGGCAGATGAGGGGCTAGAACTGCTCTAGCAGGGTATGGGTTTAAGGGGCACATATAGCTAATAGCAAATGCAGTGGGGTGAGTGGATAAAAGAACAGCTTTAGGGAAGAGGATCTGGACAACTGTTGACTTCTGGAAGTACTTCTTGCCTATTGGCTAGCTTCCAGGTTCTTGTGTTCTTTACATCCGCTGGCTCCAAGGACTGCTCTGCTTTCTTCTTTTTTCCCAACCAACATCTTTTATTCTTTCTAAGACTAATCTCCTCCCTGATCCACTGGGAGTCACTGGGTGGTGCAAACAGTTAATGGGCTCAGCTGCTAACTAAAAGATTGGAGGTTCAAGTCCATCCAGAGGTACCTCAGAAGAAAGGCATGGTAGTCTACTTCCAAAATATCAGCATTGAAAAATGGGGCAAAGTTCTACTCTGACATACATGGAGCCACCATGAGTCAAGAGTTGATATGACAGCAGCCGGTCTGATCCACTGAGAAAACAACATTCCAACATTCTCCCTGCTTTTCATCAGTTCTGTTCCCTAAAACAAGTGTTCTTTTCAGAGCTTTTTAAAAGTTTTCTTAAGGACTTTTACTATTAGTAACGATAGAAAAATGAGTAAAAAAGCAAGCATATCTTCTCTTTTATCGTTTTGTCCCAAAGCAGAAAAATATATTAAAATGTTAATGACAGGTCTTTAAATTCACAAAGGATTGGATAAGATTAGCCTTCACTTCTGAGAAAGACTCAGACTGAAGCTTCCCTTTCATGGGAACAGTGTTGGGGGTGGGGTCTGGGATGACAAGCAGAAAGAAGAGAGGGGCTCAGCAAGCACTAAGTCAGCCCCTTTTGCTCTTTTTACCCCTGCTAACCTTGCTGTACCAGATCCACAGATTGAAAGAAGGCCATGATGATCATGGGACGATGGTGTGTGACTGAAACATCAGCAGGCTGAGGAACCAAAACAAAAACCAAACCCACTGCCACTGAGTCAATTCCAACTCATAGTGACTCTACAGGGCACAGCAGAACTGCCCCATAGAGTTTCCAAGGAGCACCTGATGGATTCGAACTGCTGACCTTTTGGTTAGCAGCCATAGCTCTTAACGGGGAAGGGAATTCCAATAGCTACCAGTCTCCTGGTTGCAGACCACACCTGTGGCTGAGGAAGTAGAGCTCACCATCCTGGGCATGGGTCTCTGCTATGGTCTCTGTGTGGATGCTCTGCAGTTAAGTCTCACACACTCAGGTGCTTCCTTCCTCTACTTACCTTCCTACCTCCAAATTAGGTGATGGGGGACTGGGTGGTAGATAATTTATTATCTTCACTACACTTTATATGCTGATTTTAACTATTTAACTGCCCTCTCCTGAAAAGTAGATGCTTAAATATTATGGTCCAACTCTACAAGTGGATTTTCAAGAAAGGAGACTCTTCTATTAAAACTCACATGAAAAAGGGGGAATAAAAGGTGTAATTATAGAATTTGCATATGGAGAGGAAGTCCAGGCGATTTCGAGATAGACTGTTTTAAACTTAAGAGGATAAGGGTAAACTTCAGGGACACCACAAAGAAAATTAATAAATCTACTCACCAAAATAAAGAAGAAGAAAATAAAAAAGACCCAGCAAACACAAAAACAACGACTGACAAGAAAAGAAAATCCATAAACAAAAAGAAGTCAGCACAGAAAATTAAGAGGAACAAAGAAACCGTTAACACCACAAAAAAAGTATAACAAAATGACAGGAGTAAACCCATACCTATCATTAATTACACTGAATGTAAATGGATTAAATGCACCAGTCAAGAGATAGTGGCAGAATGGATAAAAAACATGACCCATCAATATATTGCCTGCAAGAGACACACCTTACACACAAAGACATAAACAAGTTAAAAATCAAAGGAAGGAAAAATATCAAGCAAACCAACCAAAAGATAGCAAGAATAGCAAGAATAATTTCAAATAAAGTCAAAATCCACTATAAGAAATATTAAGAGATAAAGGGCATTATATAGTGATTTAAGGGTCAATTCACTAAGAAGACATAGCCATAATACATATTTACACCCTAATGACAGAGGTCCAAAATACATAAAACAAACTAACAGAATTGAAAAGAGAAATAGACAGTTCTACCACTTTGGACAATGGACAGAACAACTAGAAAGAAACTCAAAGATGCAGAAGATCTAAATAACACAGTAAACCAACTCAACGTTATACATATATACAGACATTCCATCCAACAGCAGCACAGAACACATTCTTCTCCAACACACATGGATCACTCTCCAGAACAGATCATATTCTAGGCCACAAAGCAAGCTTCAATAAATTCAAAAACATCAAAGTAATACAAAGCATCTTCTCTGACCATAATGCTATAAAACTAGAAATCAATAACAGAAAAAGCAAAAAAAAAAGGAAACTGGATAACACCTTACTTAAAAACTACTAGATCACAGAAGAAATTAAAAATGAAATTAAAAAATTCTTAAGAATCAAATGAGAATGAAGACATAACAAACATACCGAAACCTCTGGGACACAGCAAAAGCAGTGCTCAGAGGAAAATTTATAGCAATAAATGCACACATCAAAACAGAAGGTCCAAAATCAATAACTTAACCCAACAACTTGAACAAATAGAAAAGAAACAGTAAAAGAAGTCCACAGTCACCAGAAGAAAGGAAATACTAAAGATCAGAGCAGAAATAAATGAAACAAAAACAATAGAAAGAATCAACAAAACTGGAAGTTGATTCTTTGAGAAGCTCAATAAAATTGACAAACCACTGGCCAAACTGACAGAGGAACACAGAAACAAACAATCTTTGATGGTTACGAGGGAGGGGAGAGGTGGAGAGGTAAAAACACTAAGTAGACAATAGATAAGTGGTAACTTTGGTGAAGGGTAATACAGTACACAACACTGGGGAAGTCAGCACAACTTGACCAAGGCAAGGTCACAGAAGCTTCATAGACACATCCAAACTCCCTGAGGGGCTGAATTACTGGGCTGGGCTGAGGGCTG